GAGCTTGGGGCACACGAGTCCCAATTCCCGTGACTCATCTTGTTTGTTTACCTTGTTGTTACGCTTACGCGTCTCTCTCTCTCTCTCTCTCTCTGTTCGCCCTCTCCCCTTGAAAAGCTATATCGAACCATGATAACCTGATACCAATAGGTAATGCGCGATCAACGCGTGAACCATCGCTTACGTCCATCGCGTGAGGCCACAATAGAACACATAAGTTATATTTCAATCGGCAGCACCAATCGATCGTGCTAGATCCATGTACCCATCATTGTTGGCCAGATTCCCATCCCGTTTGTGCGACGCTTGCAGATTATATTGCATCCCTTGCTTATCGCAGCATACACACCAAGAAAAATTCTCTCCTTCAAGTACTGAAGATTCAAAATAATCATTCTGATCATGTATCCAAACATGAACCATGTAAACGTGTTTCTTTTTCTCTTTTTATTTTCACTTGTTTTTATCAGATATACAATGACATAATTTTCCGGAAAGGGGAAGTGGTCAATCAAAGGACTGCCATAACGGGACGTCAGATGGTGGGATTTGAACACACGTCCTCTTGATGACGTTACCACCAGGCCACCATCGCATTATTCATAAAATTTTTTCTCGTACGGATTAGATGCATCAAACAACTGTTTGTTCCCGGTTTCCAGAAACACTTGGACTAGATGCATTTCACCATGAGTACTGCATCTTATCAGATTGTTGGAATTTAAGCTGATGTGATGCCTTAAACTGTTGTCATTGGTACCAAACGACTAAAAATGGTTCGTCGGTATTCAGCTCAACACAGTACCCATTACGCCCTTTGCCTAACTGCAGATCCTCGGGATTATGCGGATAGCGTCCGTTTTGTGGTTCACAGTGAAGTTTAGCACAGAAAGATGGATTGATTTTGTGGTCTAATGCTCAACAAATTTTTCGAGTGGTACAAAGCATGATTTGTATTTAGCCCAATCTCGGTTTAAGCTGTAATTTAAACCACTCAAACAGAAAACTATGCTCATAAATATATTTGTTATTAGATGATGAATTCAATGTGTATATGAGACGTGAGCTGAAAAGCTAGGAAGCACTGGGCAGCTGTTTCGACCTGGTTGGGTCTCATCAGCAGCGCTTGAATCCATCCACCCAACTG